AATATGTGGGGGTGGGAGGGGGAAAATGGGGGGGGGATACAATTGTTGAAATAATTTATTATGTGAAAACAATCAATAAAAATTTATAATAAAAAATAAATTCATATAATCGAATTGCCAAATGGCTCCTTAAACCTAGGTTACTGTCACTACAATAGAATGTCTAGGCACTTTAAAAAAAAAAAAGGATTTATTACTACTACTACTACTACTACTACTACTACAGTCGTACCTTGGAAGTCGAATGGAATCCGTTCTGGAAGTCCGTTCGACTTACAAAACCTTCGGAAACCAAAGCACAGCTTCTGATTGGCTGCAGGAAACTCCTGCAGCCAATCGGAAGCTGCGGAACCCCTGTCGGACGTTCAGCTTCCGAAAATTGTTCAAAAACCGGAACAGTCACTTCTGGGTTTCGATCATTCGGGAGCCAAAGCATTCAAGATCCAAGGTACTACTATTATTATTATTATCATTCCTATACCATTTTATATTTTAAAGAAATAAATCTCACAGCCATTTACAATACATTAATACATCAAATAAAACAATCCAGAATAAAACCAATTCAGGCTTCAAGGAAACTATTTCAGATCCTTCTCTACGTGACATTTTGCTTTCCCCAGTCGCCATCCTGGCATCCAGAGATCTCCACGTGGTCACAATTGGACCCTCACCAGTTGCAAAACGCGCCTGGCTAATTTCTAACGCTGGCATGGAGAAGGTACTGTAATAAACCAACGCTAAAGCTTTGCTAGCAGATCTGATGCTGTAAGATCTCTTACAGACATCAGAAGCCACCTTATACTGGATCACATCACTGTTTCATGTAGCACAGGTCTGCCTGCATTGGCACAAGGAACTGTGGTCCTCCAGATGTTGCAGAACTACAGCTCCCATCATCTCTCACCACTGTCTCTGGATGGCCCACCTCCGATCTATACTGACAGGTGTAGATCATTGGTTTCTCGTGTCCCCCTGGGATGCTTCCCAGAGGAGACATCGGGGATTGGACCAAAGTCCTTTCGTTTGCAAAGTGCTCTGCCACTGAGCTACACAAGTGTCTGCTGGATCAGGCCAATGGCCCATCTAGTCCAACATCCTGTTCCTGCCCCAGTCAGAAACCCACAAGCAGGATTTGAGCACAACAGTCCTCTCCCCTCCTGTGGTTTCCAGAAAATGCTGCCTCTCCAGCTGTGGAGAGCAGTGCAGAGCCATTGAGGCTGGTAGCCATCGATAGCCCTCTACTCTGTGAATCTGTGCAATCCTGTTGTTATAAAGGTTGCTCAAAATTCCCCAGCCGTATTTTGCTACTGGCATGAGTCCAGTTGCGACTACATGGAGAGTTCGGAGAACCAGGTTGATGACCACAGTTTGAAATCCTCTGCTTTACTCCACAGTTAATACCTTTTTCCATTTCCACTGTGTGTTTTTCTCCTTGCATATTGGGGCAAGTGAATTGTTGTGAAAGCAAGCTACAGTCAAGCGATGTGCAGTGGAAGCTCAGGTTGCGAACGTGATCTGTGCGGGATGCACATTTGCAACCTGCAGCGTTCGCAACCCGCAGCAGCGCGTCCGTGCACGCACAGGTTGCAATTTGGCACTTCTGCAGATGTGCAAAGCGCAATTTAGCGCTTCTGTGCATGCACAACCACCGAAACCCGGAAGTAACCCGTTCTCGTACTTCCGGGTTTTGGCAGTCCATAACCCAAAAAAGGGACGCGGATGGCGCTGTGGGTTAAACTACAGAGCCTAGGACTTGCTGATCAGAAGGTTGGCAGTTCAAATCCCTACGACGGGGTGAGCTCCCGCTGCTCGGTCCCTGCTCCTGCCAACCTAGCAGTTTGAAAGCACGTCAAAGTGCAAGTAGATAAATAGGTACCGCTCCGGCGGGAAGGTAAACGGCGTTTCCGTGTGCTGCTCTGGTTCGCTAGAAGCGGCTTGGTCATGCTGGCCACATGACCCGGAAGCTGTACGCCGGCTCCCTCGGCCAATAAAGCGAGATGAGCGCCGCAACACCAGAGTCGGTCACGACTGGACCTAATGGTCAGGGGTCCCTTTACCTTTTAACCCAAAAAAATGCAACCTGAAGCGTGTGTAACCCGAGGTATGACTGTAGTTGAGATCACAGAATTGGAAGGGACCCCCAAACATTCTGTTGTGGCGCCCATAACCTAGATTTAAGGTGCCATCTGGCGCCTATCTTAGATATCTGAGTTTCTAACACTGGTCCCTCTTCCGAGCGGTAGCAAGATTTCAGGGGGCTCCAAGTGCTCACCCAGGGGTGTGTTTACGTTAGGAAAACTGAGGCACAGCGGCTAGTGTCTTAAGACAAATTTATGGATAAATGTGCCAACATTTCACAAATTTCCATTTAAGAAAGGCTGTATAAATAACCTCTCCCTACTCCAACTGAAGCTCCCAACAAGAGGCCACACACTGTGCTCCTCGTGGCTAGAAAGATGCGCAGAGCTCTGAAGTCCGGTCGCTGCCTCCAGGAAGAGAACGTCCAACCTATTCTTGGCACAAGAAGGCAGAAGGCGTTTGGGGCTGGACCATCAATCAGCTGGCCGCCGGGCTGATCTGACAAATGCTAGCATGCTGGTTCAGAAAAGATTTACACTCGAAACATTCTGCGAAGCACAAACCAAGGCCCTGTTGAACATCCTCAGCAAAGTTAAGCAGGCACGCAGATTCATTTTGCAGCAAGAGAGAACTAACCCTGCAATTCTCCAGTGTCTTGATCTTTAAGTATTTCATACAAGGCGGACAGAAAGCACCCCGATCCCTTAGAAACTAAGAGCCCTTTGGCATGCGCTTTGTTTAATGCGCCGACACGTATGAAGGAGCTGGAAACCAACGCTTTGTAACAAGCGACAGACAATCTGCACACCGCGTCGTCTTTCCGACAAAGAGAATATGCAACATCTCAAGCAACCCAAACTGGTTCCTTTCTTCTTCGCAGGCAACAGTCTACTTCATCAGATGCATGCGGTGGGGAGGAGGAAGAAGAAGAAGGCAGTCGCAAATGGGCTTAGTTACACCCGAAAACAAACGTTAAACATGGGAAGGAAGAGCTAAATATAAGGAGGACACACACACCTTGATGGACAAAGCACTGAAAATACCGGGAACACAATTTGCAACACCAATGAGAAATTATTATTATTATTATTATTATTATTATTATTATTATTATTTTACATGAAGGATGTGCCCGTAATCCTTGCCCATGCCTGGACGAACTCAACCAGATCGGTCCAGGGAGTCCAGCTCTGTGATGTCCTGGGACAGCCATCCCTGCACACTGTTCTAAGGATAGAAAACACAAGTGGTTTGTAATTTTTTACCACCCTAAAGATCTGAATTGCAATGGAAGTTAAGTGCTGTGGATTCTCTCGAGCGTGTCCCGGATCATGGTGCCAACCCAGCTAAAAGGAAGCTTTTTTGTGTGTGTTTCTAGGATAACGGAATCATCTGAAACAGGTCTCTTCCAAGGGCGGAGTGGCAATCATTTGGCAGAACCACCAAGCGATTCCAGTACTGTTTCCCAAGCTCTCCCAAACCAGGAATCAAGCCACGGGAATCAGCTTCTTCCCTCTTGACGCATCACAGGTTTTGACAAATCCTAAATTATCACCGAAAGCCAGCTCCTTCCTCCTCCATCCCACCATGAGAGCGGGGTCTGCGGAAGCAGCTCCAGGAAAAAGTAATCGTAATTACAGGTCTGGCAGATTCGGGATATGGAGGGGCGCAATCTTCCCCAAACAAAGCAAGTCTAAAATTCACATTCCGTGAATTCAGATAGGAGCAAGAAGGCAATGGGTGCAGCTTAGTGGTGAGCAAAAGATAATCTCTCTCCCTCTCTACTGGCAGCTCTCCGAGTGAAATACAGTAGATCAGCAAGGAATTCTGACTTCCAGCTGTTCAACAATAGTAACAACGAAATGACCACCTCCCAACCAAATTATGCTGGTGAAAGGAAGGACGCTTGAAATAACCAGAAATGGATTTATGCATGAAAGAACCGATAGCTCAGTTCCGTTCCCATGCACAAAACAAGTCCCCAAGTTCAGAATTCTTTCATTCTAAGTGTGAGACATTTGCAACAGGATCTGGCTGGTAGACTTGGGGGTTCTAATGGGGGAAAAACAAAGTTGACCCCTCAAGCCTGAAGTCTGCTCATCCCTGGCATAAACTACCTTCCAGCTCTAACTCTGGAACACAGCTGTCAACGTTTCCCTTTTTTTAAGGGAAATTCCCTTATTCCGAATAGGATTCCTCGCAAGAAAAGGGGAAAGTTGACAGCTATGCTCTGGAAAGCTCCTGAGTGACTGTAGAGGTCCTCTGGGCAATCGTTTCTTCCCAAACGATGGGGCAAAAAAAACAGGCATGATGGTGGCAGGGCTGACTCTTTAAATACAGGCACGTTGCAACCATGTATAAAAATGCATGTGTATCTCGGTCAGAAATGTTCCTTATTTGCTATGCATTTTCCAAATTGAGATTAGATAGATGATAGATAGATAGATAGATAGATAGATGATAGATGATAGATAGATAGATAGATAGATAGATAGATAGATGCCAGACATTGTGAAATTGTTACATTGTTAAAATGGAGTAATTTTTTTAAAGAATAAAAATAAAATGCATCCATGGGGAGGACCTGATTTAAAGTATAAATTTAGCATTTGGGTGGGGGAGAGGAATGGTGACAAACGCACTCTGCCCCCCCCCCGGCATCATTTTGCCCTCGAGACAGCTCCAATGCCACAAGCCAGCCTGGCTGAGAAAAAAGCACCTTCACACAGTTCATAGTTAAACTATGGAACTCACTGCCACAAGAGGCAAAGTTGCCCAGTCCTTTTAAACAGCAATGGGCAAATTCATGGAGGAGAGGACTCTCAATGGCCAGTAGCCGCAATCGCTACGCTCTGCCCTCCACAGATGGAGGCAGCAAGAAACCAGGAGAAACCAGCTTGCCATTGTGGGCAAGCGCTGCCTGGCTCAGTGGAAGAGCATCTGCTTTGCATGCAGAAGGTCCCAGGTTCGAGTCCGGGCACCTCCAAGAAGGAAGTGGGGAAAACTGAAGAGAGCCGCTGCCAAGTCGACGCAGACAGCATGGAGGTAGATGGACCAACAGAAGGCAATTTCCTATGCAGTGGGAAAAGTGTGATGGGGGAGGTCCCATGTCCCTTCCCCTTGTTGCATGTTAATTCATCTCCCCTACTTTATAGGACAGCCTTCCCCAACCTGGTGCCCTGCAGAGATTTTGGGGTACAGCATGCATCAGCAGCTGGAAACATCTGGAGGCTGCTATAGAATTCTAGCAGCAGTCCGGACAGAGCAACATGGACCCAGTCTGGAAGGAGCACGTGGGACGGAAGTTTTCAAACACAGGCTGGGTGGCCATCTGTCAGGGATGCTTTCACTGCAATTCCTGCATTGCAGGGGGTTGGACTGGATGACCCCTGGAGACCCCATCCGACTCAACAGTTATAGTACCCAATCCTTCTGGCGGAGGAAGGGTAAAGGAGAACAAGAGCGCTTTGGGAATTGGGACGTTCTCGGGGGCAAAATATCCCTCCTGAAAGGAAGCTCTAGGAACCCGGGAAAAAGTGCAAAGAGGGAGTAGAAACAGCAGTTGTTTTCAGATATCTGAATGTATCCCCAAAGAAGGAAAATGAATAATCGCACACGCCACTGTCTGCAGAAGGAGAGACTAGAAGTGATGGGTCATCGCGAACGCTGCTGTTCTACTTGTGCCGGAGACTCACTTGGCCAACAGAACTTTCCTTCCTTCTCTCCTGAAACCTCTTGTGCACCCCCAAAATCTGTTCCAGGGGTGTGGGGGATCCTCCGAAACAGATTTTGAGGGTGCGCAAGGGAAGAAGAGGAGGGGGGAGTTTGCTATACAGGCAAAACTCCCCATGAGCAGCATTGGATACGGTGGTTTTAAACTGCCCAAAATTCATTTATGGCATTTCTGTTCCACTTTTTCCCCTCCAAGGAGCTCAAGGTTCATGGTACATGGTTCTACCTCCCTCCTAATTTATCTCCACAACAACCCTGTGAGGTAGGTTAGGCCGAGCGTGAAGGACTGCCCCAAAGTTACCTGGTGAATTTTATGGCTGATTGGGAATTTGAACCCTGGACTCCAGGGTTCTAGTCAGACACTCTAAACGCTACACCGCACCAACTGAAATAGTTGGTTAAAAATCCAAGATTCCACCACCCTAAAAACAACTTTAGCTGTAGCTCAGCCTTGACATAAAACAGTGAGAGGAATTGTTTTTTTCAGGGAAAAGGCCCTAACAGCTACCTGCGGAGGTACAAGCGGTCCTGTCTCAAAGAGAACTTTATTTGATGCCCTGGTTCTATATATGAGAATTGGCACATTTAAGGCAACAAGGAGACATTGCAAAACTTGAAACATCCATGGAGAGGGTATATACAGGGGGTAGAATACCGAGGGGAAAGAAAATTGATTTGAGAATAAATCGGCAGCATATTGCAGGATTCTGGCAGGCACTGGGGGCTATTTGGGAAGCTAATGCAAAGGTTTGGAAAGAAGATGGAATGAACAGGGGCAAAAGGAGGAATTTGGGGTCAGCTCTCAAGAGGCTTGCAAATGAACCAAACTATATTTTCAGAGACTGGCAGATTGGCGCTGCTGGATCCTTCCTAACGGGTTTGAGATACAGGTTGGAAGCAGCCTTGAACTTTTGGCACCCCAGAATTAGAGCATGGGCTCTTAAGAATGCGGCGCTGTTGTCTCGACATTTCAAAATATTTCTCCAGCCCTACAAACTTTAATAACTGGAGGGGAGGTCAGGATTCTTGCACACCAGGACCTAGAAAACCCTGCCCACTCGATCATTTGGTAACAATACATACAAACAGGACTGACAACCTAAGAGTGTCCTTGTCAGCCAAGCTCTTTTCCAGGATACTCCATTGCATTCCTTCCACCCACCCAATTTCCCCATTTCCACTACCCCACCTACAACTGTCACAAGACCACAGCCCCTAAGGAGGCTAGTCCTCATGGGGGTTATTCGTTGTTTTTCCGGCCACATGACCCGGGGCACTGGAAATAAAGGGAACTGTTGTCAGAGTGTGGTGGGGGAAGTAGCTAATGGGGAAAGATTACGTATCTTTGAAAGAATTAAAAAGAACTGAGAGACTGATGGCCAGTTTGTGAGGCAGGCCTGAGAGTGGGAGAGGAAGAAATTGGGGCTCATTTGCCCCTTTGCGGAGGATCCAAAAGATCTCTAAGCCACTGGAGAATGAGATGTCAGCGCCAAAGTTTTCCCTCTGGCAGCTCCGAGGGCGCAGCTGGGCAACGAGGAAATCTGGGGGCGCAATTGCGATGCGAGGGAGGCGTCTTTTTTAGAGTCAGCATAAAAGCACCTTGGGGGTCCCGTCGAGGGGCGCACACTTGCATGGGGGGGTTAATGACACCGAGAATTGGGGTTCCTGCTGCCTACCTGCTTGAACTGCTCTTCGTAGGTCCACTCGTGGGGCTGCTGCGGCGCCGGGGGCAGCGGCGGCGAGGCGAGGCGCGGCGCGTGTCGGGGCGCGGTGGCGACGGCGCCTCGGTCCTCGTCGTCCGGCTCGTCGTCCTCCGCTTCCTCCTCGTCGTCTTCCTCCTCCTCGTCGTCGTCCTCGCCGCCGCCACCGCCCTCCTCCTCCTCTTCTTCGGGGCGGCGGCGGGCGGCGGCCGGATCCGGCGCGGGGCGCGGCGGAGGGAGCGGGAGCGCTCGCCCCGAGGACCGCAGCCCCGCGCAGCGCCCGGCGGCCGGGAAGGGGCGCAGCGCCAGCGGGGTGGCCGTCGGGCAGGCTCCGGCGGCGGCGGGGTGCGGAGGCGGCGGCTGCGAGGCGCGCAACGGAGGCGGCTGCCCGGCCGGGAGCGCCTGGGGGTGGGGGCCGCCGCCGCTCCGGGCCGGGGCTGCCTGGGCGCGGCGCAGCTTCTCCTCGAGGCGCGCCGCCTGCGCCCGCTGCAGGTTCTCCATCACCGCCTCCAGCCGGAGCCCCCCGGCGGCGCCCGCGCCGCGCCCCGGCGAGCACGACGGAGCCGACGACGCCGACGGCGAGGAGAAGGCGGCGGCAGCCTGGGGAAAAAAGAGAGAGAGAGAAACGGAGCGGGGGTCGTCAGAAGGAAGAAAGGAAGAAAGGACGAAGGAGCCGAGGAGGAAGAAAAGGAGACGGGGCGGGAGGGGAGAAGGGAGGGCGGAGGAAAGGGAAGATGGTCCCCGAAGGGCGCCGGGGTGGGAAGGGGAAGGAGCCCAGGGCGTGGGACTGACCGAGGGGTGGGGGGGTCAGGAAGGAAGGAAGCCGCCCGGGAGCGTCCGCTTGGGGACCCACCCACGGTGCTGTCGAGAAGCGCGCGCGGAAACTTCACAAGGAAAGCGGGGGAGAACATTCCCTCCCCCCCCCCCATCAAAAGAATTAAACTGGACGGGAGAGGCTGGAGACGGGGACACACACACACACACACACACACACACACACACACGTGAAGCCCTCCAGAAGTTGGCTGTCCCAGTAACCCGACGCTGACTTCCCCCTCCCACCCGTTAAAACAAGCAAACAAACTCCTTCCAAACTCCACCCGCGCGGTGGGGAATCCGGGACCGAATCGCCGTCCGCCCGCCCGCCCCCCCCGGGGGGGTACGAGGGGTGCTGACCCGGCGCCGCTTACCAGGGCGGATTTGGTGGCGACGCGGGTGTTTTCGCCCATCCTTCGCCTCTCCGTTGCGCACCTGGCCGCGCTGGGCGAAAAAATGGACTCAAACTCGACGGGGGGGGGGGGTGGCGTGTGTGTGGGAAGCGAGGGAGGGAGGGCGACCGCCTGGCCGCCTGAATGTAATTTTAATCGAGACCTCCGCGCTGGCGTTCGGGGTTGGTCCGGGGAGGGTTGTTGGGGGTCTGCCCCTCCCCCTCCTCCCACCCCCCTCGAGGCATGTGTCAGATGCGTCCGAAATATTTCTCTGGATTCGGATCCTGCGCCTTGTGGGCGAGATCGGAGGGGCGGGCGGAGGGGGGGTCTGTTTTTCGCCCTCCTCTTCCTCCTACTCCTCCCCCCCCTTGCAACAAGTGGCAGTAGAAACAAGACTGACCCCTTCCTCCTCCTCCTCCTCTTCCCCACCCCCAGCAGCCGAGAGATCCCCATTTGCTAACAACACGTCAAAGGGAGTGATAAATGGCAGGGGGCCGGCTGGGCTGGGCTGGCGGATCGCCCGAGGGGGAAATTGCTCCAGAGAGAAGATCACCGACGGACTAGCCGGCCGAGACTCCCTGGGCGCACCTAGTAATACCTGGGCGGAAGAAGCTTCCTTCCCTCCTTCCATCAGCATGCAAAGACTGACAATCCCGGGTGGGTTTTCTGACTCTTCCAAAAAAACCAGAGCCAACTCTGTGAAAGCTGATAGTCCCCTAATTTTATTTCAAAGCAGTCGCTTGCATCATAAGCCACTTGAGTTTGATTTTCTCCTGGAAAGGTGGAACAACAAGCAACCCTTTCCAAACGAAGTGGAGTCCAGTAGCAAAGGCCCTCTGCCCTCCACTTTTTAAACTCTTGGTACATGTGGGGGAGGGATGCAGGTGGCGCTGTGGGTTAAACCACAGAGCCTAGGATTTACCGATCAGAAGGTCAGCGGTTCGAATCCCCGCGACAGGGTGAGCTCCAGTTGCTCGGTCCCAGCTCCTGCCAACCTAGCAGTTCGAAAGCACGTCAAAGTGCAAGTAGATAAATAGGTACCACTCCAGCGGGAAGGTAAACGGCGTTTCCATGCACTGCTCTGGTTTGCCAGAAGCGGCTTAGTCATGCTGGCCACATGACCCGGAAGCTGTACGCCGGCTCCCTTGGCCAATAAAGCGAGATGAGCGCCGCAACCCCAGAGTCGGCCACGACTGGACCTAGTGGTCAGGGGTCCCTTTACCTTTTCATGTGGGGGACCTGTGGCACTTAGCTCTTGCATTCCAAACCCCATCAGTCCCGGCTGGCAGAGTCAGTGGTCAAGGGTGATGGGAGCTGTAGTCTGGCGGCATGTAGAGGGCCCTGGC